CAACCGGCTGCAGGCCAAGGTAAGGTGGCTGGTAGGCTAAACCAACAATTGCAAGGAGTGCAACGAGTGCAAGGGCGGCTAGCGATCCTCGGCACTGGCTGATGCTAGAGTGGCGGGAATGGCCCTCAGAAAGGTTAAAATCACATTACTGACAGCAATTCATTGATGAAAATGAGACCAGTTTGTCTGAGCCCCAGACAACCCAGATGAAGCCCCGGATCCCAGAAAAATCTCGAACGCCCCTGCTTGAGCGGAATGCCTCCAGGCGCTTTTGGGTGGATGCGCACGACCCGGCTTGACTAGTAATGCGGATGGACTACTCTGGCAACTTGCTAGTCGGTGGTCAAAACTTAGCGCTAATACGAAATGATCTATGATCTCTTTATTGAGTTTGTGCCGGTGTTATCATAAGCAGTGACACACAACGCTTCCCTCTCGTAGGAAATGCATTCCGAAGGTGTTTTTCGAGCCGCAAGGCCAGGGAAAATGCCGCCCTGCTGAGTGCGTAAAATATTATCCTTTTGGCGCTGAAAGTGCAAGCTCGCACACACATTGCCACTGGCAGATTGTTATCGCCCGGCAATGTTTATCTCGCAGCTGCCGACATCGTATTCTTTGTTCGATTCACTCTTGACAGTGAGGAGCTGACAGCCGCCGGCCTGGACGCAGAGCTTTAGATAACTGATACGGCAGCCTGGGAAAAACACTTGCAACCCAACCAGAAGATTGCGTCTGTGTGCGTTGTGGGCCACGCGGGTTTATGGGGACACGCGGGCGGGGACGCACGGTCCGTGCCGGGCAGTCCACGTTCAGCCTCCGACTGGTGCGGCTCGACGCGAGCCGCGTCAGCGTTTAGGACGACGACGACTTCGGAGTGTGCGACGCCGCCCTCCCAACCCCTCTCTTACATTTGGCTTGCAACTCTGGCTGAAAGAGACACTTCCTTTTCAACGTCTGTTTTCGAATCAAGTCGATGGTCCTCCGGAATACTAACGAACTCTTTCGCACGAACACCATCAGATGCCAGTACAGCACTTTCGTCAGGGTTTGGTTTTAGTTTGTTTCGGTAGACGCTCCGACAGCGTATTTCTCAATGCTGGAGGACCGGCTGGAGCGGTGATTTGCGCAGATACGGCGTCCGGTCATAAACGCCTTTGCTCGATCGCAGAAGTTGCAGTCATGCGCTTATGATGTCAATGTGGGATCAGTATCGGCCGTTGCAAGCCTGAACCTTCCTCGCACAAGCAGAAGTATTTCAAATTGAACACAAGTAATTGTGCAAATAACCAATCCAGCCGGGCGACAGCCGGAGCGATGCGCCGTCGGGGGTTCGACCGGAAAGATCGCACTCAAAATCTGACGAGTGCGTTGTCCTGGCAACGGTTTCTGCTGGCTTTTGCTGCTTTCACAAGCACGCTTCAAGCCATACACCGTGTAAATTATGATATCCTGGTGTCTACATACGAGCATGCGTGGCTGTTGCATGCTCCGACTTATGTGTGAGCCTGTCCTTTGATCATGCATCTCAGCTGGTAACATGTTTGAATTTTTCAGTTGGCAAGATTCGACTTGACGGACATGATCTGAACTCTGGTTCTGTTCGATTATGTGAACTGGCATCTTTGAGGAAATCAGTGTGTAGATCTCCAAAAAGACGTTTAGGCTGGTTACCAACAGGTAAGCTTACGCTGGTTATCCAGCATCACGTATTACATTTGTCCATTCTGATAAACACGCATGTATTCGGGGATCACCACAGGGCATAGTTTTTGACGTCCGGCAAGTGTTTGTCAGATATCTTAGGATGCGCCATTCTGATAACGACTTGGAAGAGAATCGTGGGGTACGAGACTCAGCAATTCCTAGAGCATGTGTTAATGCCGACGGGAATAATTGTTGCAGTGCGCTATGAGGCTAATTAGTTTCAGACATGCATAAGGTTGTGATCCATTCCGAGTGGTTGGCATGAGTGTATTTAGGTTTAGAGTGCCTGCTAAGAGTAGCTTGTCGCGTATACCCTGAACCCACCACCCATGTCGTGCAGTTCAGACGGATCGTTTTGCCTCTGCCCTTCTGCCAGACAGGAATGCGGTGGTTTTACGTGCCACGCAATGCTGCGGCACGGCCGCCCCGGGCCAGGGTTGACCCCGTCGGCCAGTTATCTGCTTACCTTTTCATTTCAGACGGGTCAAGCAATGCGTAAGCTCTGGACACGCACCCAGTGCCGCTGGATTGCGAGTCCAGCATCTTCCGTCCAGGCCACGGAGACCGCCTGCTCTGGACACGTACCCAGTGCCGCTGGATTGCGAGTCCAGCACGTTTCGTCTAGACCACGGAGACCGCCCGCTCTGGACACGTACCCAGTGCCGCTGGATTGCGAGTCCAGCATGTTTCGTCTAGACCACGGAAACGGCCCGCTCTGGACACGTACCCAGTGCCGCTGGATTGTGAGTCCAGCATGTTTGGTCTAGATCGCAGGGCCGGCCTGGTATTTACGGCTCAAACTAAGCCTGATGCGATCAAGCAGCTGGCACCATTCGACTCGGCATTAGATTGTCGGCCCAGAAAGGTGTCACTAACGCTTTATTGCGCAGGGCTTCACGTTTCCGGTCTAACCTCCACCCGTGTTCGATCAACTTTCATCTTGCACCCGAAAACATTTATGCAGTTGGTATGTACATTCGAGTAAAAGAGGCTTAGATCGCTTTTAACATACCGGTTTGCAATACTTGTCGATCATCACATGCTATATATATATATATCCATGACGAATACCGACAAGGCGTTCCAGGAGCTCTATAGAGGTCACCGTTTTTGATGCCACGTAAAAAAACCGAGAGATGTACTCCTTATCCGCTGCAGAGTCGCAGAGGCTGGAGCTTTCATGTCGTATGATTCCGTGTTGAAGTCAACAGAAAATAATGCAGTACGCTGAAACTGATTATTCCAGTCATCCATGACACATTTTCAACTAAGCACCAGTTTGACGCCATCATTGGCATCCATTCGATCGGCATTCCAATGTCGGCCTGAAGAGGTGCCATTTTCAGTTGCCTGTGTAGGGTCATCACATGACCTGACGTGACCTCAGCATTGGTTCGGTCAATTTGCATCTGGCACCTAAAAATTTCGATGCAGTTGGCACCCATATTCGAATAAAATAGGTTTAGATCGATTTCAATATGTCAGTTTACGCTGCTTACCCTGCCTCCCGTGTCATATTTGTCCATGCGGAATGTTGATCTGGTATGTGGTGACCTCTAGAGGTCACGGCTTTTATGGTCTGGTGGCAAGCCGAGAGATGCATTCGTACTTGGGATGGCCCGCACTTGAAGCAATTTTAAGGAAAAGCGAAGATGTTGGGATTCTCCAGTACCTTGTGTCTTGTGCTGAGCCAGTGGAAAATATTGGGTGATGCGGAATGCCGGTAAGTTTCTAGGAAGAACAGCAATCTCTTTCGATCTGTTCGGGCTAGTACTGTTTGAAGGGGATTTTTGACACCTGCGTAACGTTCCGGAAAGGATGGTATATAGCATACAACATGTTTGTCAACGCTTACGGTTGACCTGTTTTGACCTCTGGAGGTCGAACCACCCGATGCCTTACACAGAGCTGTTACTTAATGTAGCTGCGCATCTTTGACTATCTCAAGTTTAAGTTCAGTTAAAAGCGAACGAATCGTCGATTGCTGCTGAATATGGATATCAAACTGCAGCTGCTAGCTTCACGTATGCAAATATCAAACACTCGGGCAGTGCGTCACAGAGCTCGCACCCCAGAAACCACACAATCAAAATGTCCGATCACCATGTTTACAAGTATTCAGAAACGATGTGAATATGTCCACATAGAAATACACACACACACACACACACACACACACACACACACACACACACACACACACACACACACACACACACACACACACACACACACACACACACACACACACACACACACACACACGCACGCACGCACACACACACACACATATATATATATATATATATATATATATTAAATATATGTATTCATAAATCCATAAATCCAGCCAAACGATGTAAACAGCAGGAGTACGAGAACATTGCGTATGAAGCATGCGGCGCAAAAATTGAAAATACGAGTAATTTCGGAATTAACAAATACGAACGAATAGGAATGCGATACGAAGTATTGCGTGCACGAAACACGGTTCAATGCGCGGAAAAAGGACCATGCGTTGTGTAATATTACAGTGGAAGACATCAGCGCTGAATTCTACTCGTTACATTGGCCATCCTGAGTTGATATCACGGTGTAATGTTTACGTGGTCCACTGGTATGTGAGACCGAGGACTGAGATTCGGCCATAGCCGTCAACCCCGCTTCTGTCAGGCCTAGGTCGCTCCGTGTGCGGAACGCATACCGGATAGCTCCTGGGGCGAAAACCCGCGCGGGTCACGCATAGTGCAACTAATTTCACGCTCCAGCAAGCAGTCGACGCCACATGAGGGCCCGACTACCCATCCACTGGGGTATGCGTGGCGATCTGGTGTGCTTTCGCTGCCAGGGTTGACTCCACTTCCATCGGGGTGCATTCCAGACTGAAACCGTTTCTGTTTCGGCTGGGATCAAATTCGACAAAATTCCGTGCTGAACCTCTCGCAGTTATGGTCCGAATCAGCCCCAGACACTGAGAATCGGTGTTTGGATTGCTTTCGCACTAGCGAAATCAAGTGCTTGTTTAGACGTACATTGTAAGCAAGCTATTTATGACCAGTTCGGTCCGGACTGGAATTTTGGCACTTGGACTTCAAAAAGTTACCTATTCTTTCCATAAAATGCCGATATTTGTGTGTTTCAAATACATTTCTACAGGAGTCCGCCCTTATTATTTCGCCTCACAGGCTGCCAGCAAGGGGTTAAAGCAACATTAAACATTTAGTACTCGGTAGTCTTCTCAGGCCAATGTACGCTTATGGCGCCGTAATGCATTATTTGTTACATTTCCAGCGCAAGCGTCCTGGAAGCGTCAGAATTTGCAACAGCGCGGCTGGTTGTTCGTTGTGGTGCAACATGTGTGTTGAGTGGGGTCGCGTCGGTGGAAAATTGGGGTTGGGATTGGTTAGCAATGCGTGATTTGACGTGAATAAGCGTCGAGAATAGATGACATCTGGTGGGTCAGTCTAAACAAATCTCAGCACTGGTTTTCTTCGACCGGTTTTACTTTCACCAGCTTCGTGTGCATTTCCTTTTTAGCATAGGGTATTTGTCATCGCACTGACAGCTTGAGAAGCCCTGCAAGGTATGCATTGTGTTGTGAAATATTTGCCTGCTTTTGCCTCATCAAACTTTGCACTGCCGGGCGTAATTTAATGTTGGCTGCTGGCTCGGTGCATTATTGAAATGGCTGAATGTCCACTTGTTTACCTCGTAGCAGACATTTAGTCATGTAATGCCATTGCAGCTCTGATTCACAAATAACAAGGTCTAATCTTTTAGATATTGGTTTTGTGGAACTTTGCTGCTGAACATGATCAATATACTCACAAAAGTCAGATTTTTATCCATGACAGGTAAATGACCATTTAAATACAATATATGTAGGGAGGACATATTTTGGGATTTGAATGTATTGAAAGAGGTGGGTAAAATATTGTCAGTATATATGCCAGATTACACATAAAGTAGTGTCCCAGCCTGCATATCATTGTAAGTGGTAATTATCATTATCATCATAAATGTGCCAGTATGATGTCTGGAGCAGGCAGGGTCATACCTATATACAATGGTGAAGTGCCTCATTTGGGGCAGATTTTCATCCTCACTCAAAAACATTCTCATCAGCCTCTAACTTTCTATGATCTCACCTGTTTTGCATTTTATGGGGGTGCACCACAATGTTCTCCATACTCCAATAGGGTATTTTTCCAAAATTATGGTACATTGCCACAAATAAGAAATTATGCCCTGCTACTGCCCCAACAACACCTCATTGAAACCTGCCTTGGGTTGCAGGCCGATGGCCTAAAACATGGATGGGCTGCCTGCTGAGGATCAAAATGAGTCTTTTCTCCAGGCAAAGATCAAATTTTATGTGCTAAGTGATATATAATTTTAGGTATATATGGTATATCTGTGATTGTTGTATTTTCCCAAAAGAGATCATGATATAGTCCAAGCCCTGTAAAGCCACAATTACTACCACTGCTTAATCAGAAGAGAGGTAATTATAAAACAACAGTAGATGAGGATGTTATGCCATCATCTTAGCTGAGATTTAGTGAGACAAGCAAAATGGAAGTTGTTTCACAAAGGAGTGGGTATGAATCAGGGTGAACTCAGAATTTGCATCTAGGCTGAGGACTTTTGTTATGTAGACTAGCAATGTCTGAAATATGGTTGAGCCTTTTGGGAAGCAATGTCAGAGGTTTGTTAATTACAGTGTGCAATAATGGTGATATTTACCAATTAGCTTGGCTGTTACATACAGCTGACACTGTAAGGCATTGGCTCTAAAGCAAGCACGTGGATGCCGTGCAAAAAATTGGTTCCAGAAACTGCCCTTTGCCCAGCCTTCAGATTCCCTGCCAGAAGGCTGGGAATCTTTTCATGCATGTTATTGCTTCAGGCTTGGGGCTTTAGTGCTGACCATTGCAAAGTTTGTGCCTGTAAGTGATCTCACCATTCTCGCCTGCTTACTTATAAAGCTTCACCAAACTTTCAGCATGCAGCTAGGATAGGTATCTGCCTATCCACCTTGCTAATGCAATGTCCTGTAGGGCTCTGCAGACACCGAACATGATTGCTAGACCTGTATGACAGTCACATACTCATGTGTGTGAGAAACAGGCGCAGAGCTGTTGGATTACACAACCACAACTTAAGATTGTTCATAAGGGATACCCCACAGCTGGCATGTCAGGTTTGCCCTGAACTTGTCCTCTGTCACACTGGCTTAGACTGGACATATTCAATCCTTGTTAGTGAGATGATACCCCATTGGTTTTGGTCCAGTCAGCTTGGAATAATGTTAATCACTTCTCCCTGTCTGGCTAGCAGAGACCTTAAAGTTGTCATCAACAAATTTGCAGTGTTGGGGATTGTCTCCCTAAAATATCACTAGTCATAACAGCTACCACCTGTTGATCTTATGCCAGGTCTGTCAGGGTGTTCTCAGTGCATATGGCAGGAGCCATCAGAAATGATCACAGCTGGCACTGCAGGCCAAGCAACTCCAACCTCAGGTGTGATAATATTTCAAATCAAGTGACCCAGTCCAGTTGTCACACTTTCTAGGAGGTAATGTATTTGCAACCTCGCACATTCCTTTTCTCTTTTATGTAAGTACCAAACATGTAATTGTTAGGCAGTGACACTGCTGAAGACTGTAAAGGCTGGTCAAAACCATGTGCAGATCTAAATGACCTGGCATCACAACAAAACAAAGTCAATGCAGTCAGATGGAGGAGAAAATAGGCAGTCACACAAAAATGTAAAACCGTGGTTGTATGTGTGACAGGTGTTATGCCATCAGGCACAAACCATGGATCCAGCAGTTTTGGGACTCTGGTATAAGGTTGTGATAACTCAGCAAAAAGTGCAGGCAAAGGGGTGGAACCAGCTATAGGATGTAGGTGAACATACCTTTGATGAATCACTTGCAATGCCAGCAAGTTCCCACCCACTGGATGTGCTCATTGCTCATTAGTGCTCATTAGCACATGCTGTGCCTTGTAAACACCCAGTGCTCCAAGTCGTGAAAGGGAAGTGACCACTCAGCAGAGTGGTACACAAGACTACATGGCCTATACATGGTCCCAACCGAAGTGTTGAGGCTGGCCTGGCTGGCAGGGCACCATGAACGGCGCTGGCGGCGGCCCCTCGTCGGCGCGCGGCCCGGGCCCCGTGCCGCCGCGCTGGCTCCAGTGCCCGCGCAAGGCGCTCACCGTCGTCGACGACAAGTTCCTGGCGTTCAAGACGCCGCTCTCGGCCTCGTTCGACGGCCAGGTGCCGGTCGAGTGTCGCTTCACGCCTGGCATGCTGGTGGCCTCACTCAAACAGTACAAGGTGAGGCGGTAGCGGGCACGCACGCCCCGCGGCGCGCTGCGGGAACAGTGGATGCTGGGGAGGGGAGGAGGGGGACAGAGGCGGCAGTTTGTCGTGTGGGGCGGGTCGTGTTCCTCCCGGCGGAGCCGTGAGTCACGTCAGAGTCAGTAACTGCTGGGTTAAGAGGTGTTGGGGCAGTGACTGATTTGTAAGTTCGGCGTGGCTTTCGTATCCGCGTGGCGGGAAGGCGGCTGGCAAACCAGCGCAGGGTCAGGACCATGTGGTGAAAGGTCAGCTTTGTCAGTTTAACAGTGATGAGCAGACTGGCTCTGACGGGGCTGGATACAACAAATGTGACAGTTCGAGTGATGTGTTTGGAACAGTAAAGGGAGAGAACAACCTTTAGCTGAGGGTAGTGTCGCCATATGACATCCCATGGTCAAAACACCTCCCAAACCTGGCTGAAGTGCGGCCCCTGACCCCCGCTTCCCCCGGCCCGGCAGGTAAAGCTGGGGCTCTGGATTGACCTGACCAACACGAGTCGCTTCTACCCGCGCGACGAGGTCGAGGCGTTCGGCTGCAAGTACGTGAAGCTGCAGTGCCGCGGCCACGGCGAGACGCCGTCGCCGGAGCAGACGCGGCTCTTCATCGAGGTCTGCTCGCACTTCATCGCCAAAAACCCGCTGGAGATCATAGGTGGGCGTGGCGGAGGAGCTGCCAGGCGGTGGGTGAGAATGGGTTCGGCGGCTGAGACGGCGGTGGCAGCGATTTATCCGAACTAGAGACTTGCTTGGCTCTCAAAAATGTACGAGCTGGTGTTGTGAAGTATGATGTTGCAAGTTATGATAGAGCAGATGGATCATAGCTCATATGCGGCGTTCAGTGTCATTACGTGTTGTCAAACTCAGTAAGCATGCAGAGTGATGCATGCTGCTAGAGTTGTATGCGCCATACCCGCCGTGCTACGGACTTGTGGAGCGAAGTTATTTGAGTACAGTAACTAATGAATCCAGTCAGTGATTAGAAAACCAAGGTAGGAATCAGGCCATGAGTGGTGGTTTAGTGCCCTGAGCAGGCTGTTGTGCTGTCAATCGGTCGTGTTGTGCAGGCGGGGGAGATCGTGTTGTGCAGGTGGAGGAGGCCGTGGTGTGCAGGTGGAGGAGGCCGTGGTGTACAGTCGGAGGAGGTCGTGTGCAGGTGGAGGAGGCCGTGGTGTGCAGGCGGAGAAGGTCGTGGTGTGCAGGCAGAGGAGGCCATGGTGCAGAGGCGGAGGAGGCCGTGGTGTGCAGGCGGAGAAGGTCGTGGTGTGCAGGTGGAGGAGGCCGTGGTGTGCAGGCGGAGGAGGCCGTGGTGTGCAGGTGGAGGAGGTCGTGGGTGCAGGCAGAGGAAGCCATGGTGTGCAGGCGGAGTAGGCTCGTGTACAGGCAGAGGAGGCCGGCGGAGGAGGCCCAGGTGTGCAGGCAGAGGAGGCCGTGGTGTGCAGGTGGAGGAGGTCGTGGGTGCAGGCAGAGGAAGCCATGGTGTGCAGGCGGAGTAGGCTCGTGTACAGGCAGAGGAGGCCGGCGGAGGAGGCCCAGGTGTGCAGGCAGAGGAGGCCGTGGTGTACAGGCAGAGGAGGCCGTGGCGTACAGGCAGATGAGGCCATGGTGTCCAGGTGGAGAGGGCCGTGGTGTGCCACGTCACCTTTCGCCCCGTCCGATCGCCTGTGGGCGTCTGTGGTCTGGCTTTTGGCCGCCGCCGGCTCGAGCTGGTCGTGTCAGCGCACGGGGCTCGCTGCGTCGCCTCTGCGCCAGCGTCGCTTCTCCAGCCGCCTGACCCTCTCCGGCAGGGATCCACTGCACACACGGCTTCAACCGGACCGGCTTCCTCATCTCGTCGTACCTGGTAGAGAAGTGTGACTGGAGCGTCGATGCGGCCATCGATGCCTTCGCTCGTGCTAGGTGAGCCGGCGGCTGCCGCACCTATCCGAGTACTACACCTATCCTATCCGAGACGCCCGCCTCCCGCGCCGACGCTGGGGGGGGGGGGGGGGGGGGCGCTCGTGCTGCCTGTGACCGGCCGTCGCCGGCCTCGCCGCGCTGTGCTGGGCTGATGACGGCCGCCCCTACTGACGCCCACCTCCTGCGCCGACGCCGGGTGGGCGCTCGTGCTGCCTGTGACCGGCCGTCGCCGGCCTCGCCGCGCCGTGCTCGGCTGATGGCGGCCGCCCCCACTGACGCCCACCTCCTGCGCCGACGCCGGGTGGGCGCTCGTGCTGCCTGTGACTGGCCGTCGGCGGCCTCGCTGCGCCGTACTCGGCTGGTGGCGGCCGCCAGCGCTGACGCCCGCCTCCTGCGCAGGCCGCCGGGGATCTACAAGAAGGACTACATAGACGAGCTGTTCCGGCGGTACGGGGACGTGGAGGACGCACTGGACGCGCCGGAGCTGCCCGACTGGTGCTACGGTAACTGCTGCCTCCTCCTCCTCCCCTCCCCGTCCGGTGCCGGAGCTGCCCGATTGGTACTACGGTAACTGCCACCCCCTCCTCCTCCGCTCCCCGTCCGGTGCCGGAGCTGCCCGACCGGTGCTACGGTAACTGCTGCCTCCTCTTCCCCCTCCCCGTCCGGTGTCAGAGCTGCCCGACCGGTGCTACGGCAACTGCTGCCTCCTCTTCCCCCTCCCCGTCCGGCGCCCGAGCTGCCCGACTGGTGCTACGGTAACTGCCACCTCCTCCTCCTCCCCTCCCTGTCCGGTGTCGGAGCTCCCCCACTGGTGCTACGGCAACTGCTGCCTCCTCGTCCTCCTCCCCGTCCGGTGTCGGAGCTGCCCCACTGGTGCTACTGTAACTGCTGCCTCCTTTCCCCCTTCCCCGTCCGGCGTCGGAGCTGCCCGACTGGTGCTACGGCGAATACCACCTCCTCCTCTCCTCCCCGTTCGGTGCCGGAGCTGCCCCACTGGAGCTACGGCGAATGCCACCACCTCCTCCTCTCCTCCCCGTTCGGTGCCGGAGCTGCCCCACTGGTGCTACAGTGACCACCGGCACCTCCCCCTCCCCGTCCGGTGTCGGAGCTGCCCGACTGGAGGTGCGGTGACCACCATCTCCTCGTCCGCCTCGCCCGCGTCGGGGATGGCCGTTCAGCGTCACCAGGTGGTGTATGGAACAGGTCTTCTTCGTCCTTTGTGGAACGCCAAGCTGTGTGTACGGACAAAGTTTTACAAGAGAATGAACAAATGTGTTTCGCTTGAATAACAAGGCCTTGCTGACCGACAGACTGAAGGGCTGTTAAGTATTGCTAGCCATATAGGCAACAAAGCCCTGATGTGTTGCGCTTGTTGCGAAATGGAAGAGTGGCATTGGGAAAGTACATGTTGATGCCGTCACTGGGGTGTCTATCGTGATTGGTGTGTTTTCACAGCTCGCCTGCTGTTGTCGCCCGTCTCCTGCACTCACCGCCAGATACATGTTATCTGAGCCCTCCACTGGCATGACCTCTGGCCGCCCCGACACTTGTCCCCATCCCTGTCGAGTGGCATCTGAGCTCCGGCCTCCGTCCTGAACCACTCCGACTAAACCGTCGCCTCTGGCGCTGCCTGATGCGGAAGTCGACGCGTGTTACAGACTGCCGCCTGACGAGAGCGTTCCTCCTGACCTCCGTCCGGGAGATCTGACCTGACCTTTGTCCGGGAGGTCTGAACTCCTGACCTCCGTCTGGGAAGTCTGACCTGACCTCCGTCCGGGAGATCTGACCTGACTTTTGTCCGGGAAGTCTGACCTGACCTGACGTCCGTCCGGGAGGGCTGACCTGGCCTCCGTCTGCGAAGGTCCGGCCTCCGTCTGATAAGTTTTGGGCTGACCTCCACCTGCGAGGGTGTGACCCCACTGTCCGTCCGACCGTCAGAGGAGGCCAACAACGGGGTTGACGACGACGGACACCCGTTGCCGTCGGATGCGGACGAGGCGGCGCCCGGCGGCGGCGGCGGTGGCGGTGGCGGTGGCCGCCGGCGGGAGCGCGTCAAGAAGAACCCCCAGTTCATGGAGGGCGTGCCGGGCGTGCGCTCCATCACCTCGCAGCCGCGGCTGGGCCAGATCCAGAAGCGCATCCAGCAGATGTGCGGCTGGCAGGAGTGAGTGGGGACGGCGCGGGGTGGGGGGTGGTGGGGGGAGGGGAGAGAGGGTCACGGTGGAGGTGACTGGCGCAGCGGGAAGAGCGGTGTTGCGGAGCGCGGCGGGAGGGAGCCGGAAGCGTGCTAGCGGCGGTCGCGGAGCCGGGGCTGGGTGCGGAGCGGTGGTCTGTGGCCCGGCGCCGCCAGCTGGTCAGTTCAGCATCGGACGTGGACGCACCGAATGTGTCTTGAGTGCGCCGGGTTCTCTGTCGGGTGGAAGAGCCGCCGCCGCCGCCGCAGGGCGGAGGCCGGTGGCGCCCGGCGCGTTACGCTGTGTCGTACTCGTGACGCTGACTCATCCGCCCGTGCGCCGTTGCAGGGCGCTTTGTACTGGTGGACGGTCGTGGCATGACCTGACCTTACTTGACCTGAGCTTGCTGCCGTCCGCAGTAGCGGCTTCCCCGGCTGCCAGCCGGTTTCCATGGACCGCGACAACATCCTGTTCCTGCAGGACATGCCTTACAAGGTTTCCTGGAAGGCGGACGGCACCAGGTGGGTGGTGACGTCGCTGCGTGACGTTGGGGGGGGGGGGGGGCTTGTCATTTAGTCTGCCCACGTTTACAACGTCATATTTGGGGCAGGCACGCCGGAACCAAGAACCACGGGGTTGGTCACCGGTTGGGGAAATGGTTGCCATTGTAGTCGGCGCGCCCGAAAGCCCAGACATCATCATTATCATCGTTGTCGATGACTGTGGAACTCGAGTGATATTCGGGAAATCGGGAAAGGGTCTATGTGAAAAGTATTTAGCGGCATATGTCGCTTTGCAGAGTCAATGTCATAAGCAATTCAATTATTTGGGCCTGACGTCTCAGCGTCCGTTTGGACCATTTCGAGACGGGATGCCTGTATCAAGCACCATGTGGGATACGGTAGTGGTATGACTTGGGCCTGAACCCACCACCGTGAACTTCAGAGACTCGCTAACCATTTTGCCACCATCGCTCTCCGTAGTAAGCAGTTGAAAGTGAAGTGAGTAATTCAAGTTAAAGAAGGTAGTTAAATAAAGCGTGTAACTGAAAGTAAAGTAACTAATTAAGACCGCATAATTGGTACGATATGAAGCGCGCTGATTTGTAATCGTGTGGCGATTGGCGGCGTGTTGTCTGGCACAAATACTTGCACGTGTGGTAGAGTTGGCTCATCGAGCGGCGCTGCCGCGTTATTGACGGGAGTCGAGCCGACTGCGTGGGGCGTGACGTCACCGGCCGGGCCGCAGGTACATGATGCTGATCGACGGAGAGGACCAGACCTACTTCGCCGACCGAGACAACTCGATATTCAGGGTCAGCGGTCTCACCTTCCCCTACCGGAAAAATCTCAGCGAGCATCTCTCCGACACACTCCTGGACGGGGTAGGTTCATGCGCTGCGGACACACTCCTGGACGGGGTAGCTTCACACACAACGGATGCACTCCTGGGCGGGGTAGGTTCACACACAACGGGCACACTACTGGGCGGGGTAGCTTCACACACAACGGCAGTCAGAATGCGTCGGAAAACAGGGTGTGATCCTCGCAGTTTGCCACAACGAAATCGAGACCTGGATGGAGTCGTGGTTTCACTGCTGGCGTATGCGGTCCTGTTCTCTATTTTGCTGTACTCAGCTGTAGCATGGGCGGAAGGTGGGCCTGGGCTCCGGCCGCCCCTCAAATCCCGCGTGCCCCTGGTTTTACATCGATTTCAGTTGCAATTTGTGGGAACGTAATGCCGGGATGGCTTTTTAGCCAATCTTTGCCTAGTGTCCATTTTTGGGAAGGCTTCGATCCAATATTCGTCCTAGATCAACTTCACATCAACAGATAACTTCCGAAATACTCAAACGCACCATATAATGCGGTAGCACGCCTGCCCTGTGCCAACCTGACTTTCTGACACGTATTAATCGGGCGTCATAGACGAATGACAGCTCCTGGGACCCGTGCCCGCATGCCTCGACTACGATGGTCACGTGTTCCGCTCGCCGCCAGCTGAGCCGCGGCGATGGCCTTGATGGCATTTTGGGCTAACGTGTGACGATTCTGGTGATGGATTGGATACTAATGCGCCGATAAATGACTTCCAATTAGCACGGCGCGATACACGTGGTTGGATCGATTCCCGACACCTTTAGCTGCCCAGCCCGAGGGTGTGACCGCACCCTGCTGGACGGCGCCAGCGAAAATATCCCGCGACGGGAATCGAACCCGACCTCACGACGGCCATCCGCCCCGCAGGAGATGGTAATCGACCGCATCAACGGCGAGGACCACCCGCGGTTCCTGGTGTACGACGTCATCCGGTTCCGCGGCGAGGAGGTGGGCAAGACCCGCTTCGACACGCGCCTCACCTGCATACGGGTACGGGACGGGCTCGGCCTGCCGACCGTGGCGCCCCCGGTGGCAGCCAGTGCGAACGTCCGCTCCGCCTTGCCGTTGTGCGAGGTTCGTTGAGTCGGTTGGCAACGTTCGCTGTCATCCGATGTACCTGTATGGAGAAGGTGGGTTGAGACGCCTGCCGTCCCGTTCTCTGCATCTGGCACGCTGCGCGGATCATCCGTGCTTGCAGAACCGTGCTTACAGAACCGTTCCGTTCTGCCCGTTCCGTTCTGCCCGTTCCGTTCCGTTCGTTTCCGCCCCGTTTCGTTCTGTTCCGTTCCTCTCCGTTTCGCTCCCTGACTCGCGCCACGCGCGGCGCGATCGACGGCCTGTTGGTACGTGGGCCTGCCAGAGAGGCAGACTGCGACGGGTCTGCCTGCTGGTGGCGCCCAGGGCGCTCCTGTTTCAAGGCCATGCCGCTGTCATGGCAACGTCTGTTGCCCTCTGCACCTGCCTCCGCAAACCCAGTCTTGTTGTTCGTGCCCGATGCAATCTCGACATGTCCTTGTGTTACACGTACTCTCCACGATATGTGGTGCGAGAATAGCCAGGCGCTTGTAGATGATTTGTTTGTGCGTTTGCATTTGACACACGGACATGTGCCCGACATGTGTCCATGTGACATGTGTCCGACATGTGCCCTCCGTTCTGCGTGTTGAGCTAATGTGCCTGATGTCGATGTACTGGTAGCATTGGGCGCACGTCGGAACGGCGGACAGCCAGAGTGACGGGCGAGCGGCGAGAGCAAGCATTGCCAGGCGGACGTTGTGCGCTAGAGATAGAGCACGTGGCATAACTTCACGCAAACTGTAACACACCGCGAACGATGTGCCCGGCAGAAGGAGATCATCGACGCGCGCCACACGGCGGCCGAGGCGGGCCGGCTGGCCAAGGGCAGCGAACCGTTCTCAGTGCGCGCCAAGGACTTCTGGGACCTCTCTCACACGCACAGCCTGCTGAGCGACAAGTTCTGCCGGTCACTGGGCCACGAGCCCGACGGACTCATCTTCCAGCCGCTCAACGACGTGAGGCTCGGGCGGCGCGGGTGGCGTGGGACGGCGTGCAGTGCGGTGCGGTGGGGTCAGGGCGGCCGTGTCCGATCGGTTCACGGAGCGCCGCCGGGGAGGGCCGCTGGCCGCGCGGACGGGGTCGGGATCAGATTGACGAGGTCAGAGTGCTCGTGGGAAGGGACGAGATCAGTCGCCACTCGCGGGGACGTGACGTGCGGCTCAGAGACGGCGCGGAGGCTGTGTAGCGCGCTGCACTGCTGGGTAAGACGCTTCTGCCGGCGGGCCCCGCACGCCCGGCGCCTCGTGTGCCGGTGAGTGAGGACTGTCGTGACCTCGCCCCCTCCCCGGCAGCCGTACGTGCCCGGCCGCTGTGACATGGTGCTCAAGTGGAAGCCCGCCTCGCAGAACTCGGTCGACTTCAAGTTGAAGATCGTGAACGAGGGCGGCGAGGGGTGAGTGTTTATAAGAGGCGGGGCAACCCCGCATCACAGACCCGTGGGCGATTGTTGTTCGCTCTCGGAAGCATGCCGTTCCACAACTCGACTCGTATAGAAACTTCGAGGTACCATTGTGAGATAACTGGGTACCAGCTCAACCTTTACCCTCTTGCATTGCATTCGGAAATAAAGCGTGCTTGTGTTTTACCTCAACATTTGATCCTTGGGGAGAAACAATTCACCGGCATCGGCATCGGTCCCCGATCATGATCGAGGATCGGCGCACGCCGCTGCCGTGAGTCCGGTCCGCCTACGTCACTGGCAGTGTCGTGCCACGCCTGGTGTTCGGCCCAGCGCCTGACCGCGGCTCGCGCCGCCCAGGATGCTGCCCAGAAAGGTGGGCATGCTGTACGTGGGCTCGCTGCAGTCTCCGTTCGGCAAGATCAAGGTGACCAAGGAGCTGCGCGAGCTGAACGGCAAGATCATCGAGTGCACCTACGAGAAGAACCAGTGGGTGTTCATGCGCGAGCGGACAGACAAGAGCTTTCCCAACGGCTTCGAGACGGCCAAATGTGAGTACGCGGTGGGACGGAGTGAAGGCGTGCGGCGCATCAGGCGTTTAGCTGTTGAGGCCGCCTGGGACGCTCCCACGTTCGTGGTCCGCTTTTGCCAAGACCTGCCCGCAGCAGAGCTGAGGTCTATGAATGACGTGTTGCGTTGCTAAATCTTGAGAGTCTGAGTCGCCGGAATGGTATTGCTCGTGCTCTTATCGTGAAGCGTCTTCCATGACTGAGGATGGCGCCTTCAGAAACAGAATTTTACATTATCCAGAAGCGTTTTCGAAGTCCCTGTACTCGCCCCATGCCAGGTTTAAAATCAGCTGTCATTTGACCTCGGCTCTCGCCAAATGTCGCTGCTGACCAGGCTTCATCTCCGGCCCGATGTACGTTCTGTTCCGAGCCCTCGGCTCGTGTCACGTTCCCCCTCCGCGTCCTCTGCGCCGCCGCTCACGCCAGCCCGCTCCGGCAGCCGTCTGCAACACGATCCAGCACCCGGTGACGCGCGAGATGCTGCTCTCCTTCATCCGCGACCAGGCCAAGCGGCGGCCGGACCACGACCTGATGCCGCCGCCAGCCGCCAAGCGACAGCGGTGAGCGCGGCCGGCACCGGCGTCCGGCGGCGGCGGCGGCGCGGCCGGACCCGCGCTGACTCGCCCCTGGGACGCGCGCGAACCGCCGTCGGAGCGCGGCGAGACGCGTGTAATGACGGCCGAGGGGCGACTGGCGCCGGGCGGTCCGCGAGAGCCGCGCGACACCAAGTCCCGTAACGTCGGTGATTTCGGTGACGCCGCTTGGGGACGCGCGTCACCGGTCACCGCATTGTCACGCGCGGCGCCATGTGTCGTTGACTATCGGCTGTCGTGCCGGTCGCCCTTGAGGTCCGGCTCGCGCCGCGTGACCCGGCCGCCCGGTCGGGAGGCGGGGCGCCCGCGACCCAGCGGCCGAAGCTCCGGTCGCCGCCACGCCGCGCCGCTGGTGTTTTATTCGTGTTCTGGCGTTCGCCCTCGGCGCCGCGTCCCTGTTCGCGAGAGCACGGTGTCCATTTCTTCTATTTATACAATACAGATTACGAGGCAGCGCTCCGTCGGCTGACGCACCGGTGGGGGGCGCTGAGTGGGGCACGATGGGCCAAGGGTGACTGTGCTGTCGCCAAATTCCGTTTGGTCCGACCGCCTAGAGCTGTGCCAACGTCAACCATGGGGATAATGCCGTGATGGCGCTCTAAAACGTACATAGGTCTCCTCCGCTTCTGTGCATGGCGAAGTTCAGGCGGATTATACACGCCCGCGAGGTGTGGTCAAGAGGACGGATTATGGGCGCGGTTGTCAACCTTACCCACCGCTGCTTTGAGGAGCCGGCTGTCCTCGCCTCGTCCGAGCGCTGGTCGCTCCTCGTCCTCACCCGCGTGCGCGTGCGTCCGAAACGTTCCAGTGTCCTTCATCCCGTGACAAACAGGCTGCGCTCGTCTCCGGGCGTGTATTGGACCCGGTATGGCAGGAGGGACGTTTGTACTGAGGCCCGGCCGCGGGGACCCGCGGTCCGGCTCGTGAAAGACATAACACGACAATGTGCCCGGCGGCGGCGGGCCGGCCCGCCCGCGCGGGGCGGGTCACACGCACCGGCATGCGCGCCGCGCAGGACTCACTGGCACGCGCAGGGTACGCGCTCAACAAGGAAACGTTGGTGCCGGGGTTTGATTGGAATCACGCGTTCAACAACATCCTCTTAGCTGCTAGGAGGTACGCTCTCGCTCTGATTCGATCGGAATCACCTGCTCGCCGTTGAGTTCACTAGCGCGGTAGTGTACACGGAATTACATGCTAACACGGGTTTGAACGATGCGTAGGGTTGCTGGCGGCCGCTCACGCCCGGCACGGCGCGTCCGCGGGTGCTGGTCAGCTCGAGTCTGGCCAGCAGGCGCTGCCAGCGGCTCGCGGACGGCCGCTGGGCGCTGACCAGCGCGGTGTCCTGCACAGAGGCGGAGTATTGAATTCGAACCGCGGTGAGCAACACGGGCCTAGCGATGGGTTAATTACAGTTAGCACACATACAGTTTGAAACGCCGTTACTGGAACGGACAAGACGGTGGGATAAGCGGTAAAGTTCGGGATGACACGTATGCTATTCCTTCGATCTTCCGCTCTTGTAAGCTACTAAACCTTATGATCAAGTCTCCTCATCGACCGTCTACTCCCAGTCATCGCACGGAACCGCACACAACTGCATGCACACTTAACTTCGAATGGCTTGACATTGCAGTACGTATTCACAGCAGACGCGCAGGGCAGGAGCGCTCGGGTAGCACCGCATTCGAACGCATTGAGCTGTTGAGAACTGCTCGCTGCGAGATGTTCTCAACACGACGCCAGGATCGCATCGAGCCGTTGAGAATTGCTCGCTAAGAGAGAGGGCTGCACAGCTGGCGGCCGTTCCAGCCGCAGACCTCGCAGAACGGACGCGCGACGCCACAACGCGAACACGAAACGGTCACCCGTGTACACAGGAAACTGGCGCGCTGTTAAGGCGACGCCGCGAACAAACCACATGCTATTGTAGGAACACCGTTCTGGGTAACCATCGCTAGCGCGCTGCACTGCCGTGGCGCACCAAGGCAGGTTTCCCGTGACCCACCCGGGGACACGAAGCCCGAATCCGTGCCTTATGTAACCCGACACACAGGCGTCAACATTCGCCCTTCTCGCAAACGTGCTGCGCTCTAGGGTCGCCGCTTTGTGCAATGTTTAAGACCAAACGACATTGCGATACGCGTGGGTCAGTTAGCCGTCTGTATGAGGTAACCGGGGCACACGCGCTGTCGTGTCCCAACAGCGCGGAAGATTTCGCTCTTCCGCATAGACGGCATGTACTGAGAAATACTGGGACCAGAATGTCATCGACGCCGTGGCCAACACGTCATCGATAATCCGACATGGACTGCGGCCTCTCTCCCTCTCTCCCATTGCAAAATTGGCACCGGTGGGCTCACGGTCCGACAGAAGCGTACGCTTTTCAATGTTCGTCTTGTGAGACGCCGTCAACGACCACACAGCGCTTCCCGGGCGTCTTCTCGTCCGCGGCTTTCCGCACGCCATCTATCACCGGCCATCGGATACAGTAGTTTTCGGATGCCACACAGTGGTTCACGTCCGCCGGCTGGCCATCTGCCGCCGACTACCGGAAGTAGTCGTTCTCGAAGCTGTCGCCGCCGAAGGCCTCGTAACTGTTGTCGAGCCGGTTGTGGTACGGCATGGCCTTGCGCAGACCGAGGAAGAGGTTCTGCCAGTGGCGCAGTGGCGAGCTGGCGCAGACGGGCCGGCTGGTGGGGCACGGGTAGCGACGCAGACACTTGGCGAACTGACGGTCACATTCGCAGAGCTGGCCCGCACACGCGCTGCCCGAGCCGGCCACTGAAACCGGACACGGCTTCAGACGAAATGTCGGGGCGGCGGAGATACGCTGGCCAGGGGCCGGAGACCGGGTAAGACAGGCCAGAGAGGAGGAACAAGATCACGGCGACCACGACCGGAGGCAGGGACGGTCGGGCCAGGAAGGAGAGGCAGTGACCACGGCAACCTGGAAGAAACCGACAATAAAGGGATGGATAATCGCGGAGATGCACACCATAGCTGTGATCACAAATAATATGCTAACCACGGCCCGAACCAATAATACGAAAGCCAAACACAATGCGATCGCTTGTCTGGGGAGCTAATGCGCCAAGTAACCAGCTATGGTAATTTTGCGAACTACACTTAAGGAAGGGCTAGGCGTCAATGCTTGAACATAAATACAGCAAAGAGCACATCAAACACGGATCAGAGGGTGAGCTGCATTAACAATTGGCAGATGGACTGTATTTAGCAACAGCGGCCCGACCCGGCTTCTGCGAAGCTTGTGCAGAAACTTTTCGCATGTCATTTTACGGATTTTGAATTTAATTTGACATTAAGCGGGTTTCCCGCCAGCCCTCAGGGCATCGTTTTATTCAACGGAGTACAGGAAAGATGAAATTAAGAGTGAAAGCAAGCCACCTCTTCTGGGCAAATGGAAAACAAAGTCAAGTGATAGACACGAAAGGCTATGTTTTGGTGTTTGATGTGACAGCGGGGGCCAAGGATAACGAACATGAGCGAAAGAAAAGTAGATCATTTACATTGTCCTAACGAAGTGTAAAACACTACCGTCAGCACAGAGCCTCAGGAAGGACGCCTGCCTTTCAGACGTTTTCGTTCTAAACACGACAGAGTACGGCAGCGAGCGGCGTACCTACGCGACAATCGAATTGGTCAGCCCTTCACCAGCCATGCAAAGCCAGCTCTAGCTCGTCGCCGGTCGAGTTAGGCCGACGCCGACAAGCGTGGCTTTCCTTGTGGCGGAAAACCTCACGAAAGTTTTAACGTTGCACAGCAGCGTTCATAAGAGCGTCCAAGCCGTTCTGTATTCGATAGGTCACAGAAGCTTTTACGTGAACCTGTGCAGAAAGGGCTGGAGACGGTGTTACAGGGTTCACATACCTGTCCCGTGAGTCTTGATAAGAACGTCATACTTTGTGAGAAGGGTCCTGATCAAAGGAACCAGGAATTACTTCAGCAGTCGCAGGGATGTCATTGAGGAGCTCGCAGAAAGCGTGACAACGATGCCAACGATGAGTCGCTGAAGGAGCCGTCGTGAGGTGGCCAGTTGCTGGAGGAGCCGCCGCTAGTGTGTCGTCAGTGAAAGCGCTGTTACGTCACCGACAGACGTCACCGGAGGACTAGTCACTGGAGGGAATTGTCACTGGGGCAGCCACTGCGTGACAGACCCTCGCCGGAGAAGCGGCGCGGGAGGAATGGTCACTGAAGAAGCCGTCATGGCGCGCGGAGCGTCACGGTTCCATTACCGCTTCGCGACATCGACACGGCGGTGACGCCACTGCTGTTCTGGCTGTGTCAGTGTCGAGCTGTTGCAGAGGGCGCGGGAGGGTGCAACCAGCGACAGCTGGCACATGCGGGCATGCCTTGCGCAACATAAAGCAAGCCATTCGTCCACGCAAATCATGCCAAGCGCGTGATATTATGAGAGGCATGCTTCATTTCATTACTCATGCGACGCGTTTGAAAAGTCTTCGATTACACTCCGCCAGCCGTTGAGAGGGATGTTGAGATTGATCGCGGAAAGATAACAGAAGTTGAGGTCGCACGGCCTTTCAACCGGATGGTACTCCGAGAACTACCCTGTGTCTTCGTTTGAGCAGTGTGCCGGTACAGACCCACGAACTTTTGCTCGTAGGACCATGAGACACGCAGTTCATGCAGACGTTTTGCGCAGCTTTACATAAATCGATGCGCACCTACTTGACCGTGACAATCGCCCGCAATAACCACAGAAATGACTTGCAACGGCGTGACACCTTAGGGATGGAGCTCTGCCAGCAATACTGACTCGCTTGCGGTTCGGCTCACTCCATAACGTCACGCTCTTTTGTAACACCTGTTGAAAAGCGCACGTCACACTAACTGATCAAGCGTGTGTGAAATAGCTGCCACGCTCCAGGAACTAACGATCGGTTTCGGCCGTTTTCCACTCTGCAGTGGTGCACGAATCAGGCCCGATTATGATTGCGTACCTTAGCTGCACGGGCGATACGAACCTGTGTGGTTTTTCTGTCAGTGGCATCGGGGCACTGTGGTTTGCGAATCTGCAAACCCACTTCCACTGCCACTGCCAAGCTGCTAGTGGTGTGTGAAAATCATTGACCCAGAGGGATGTTGATAACCACGTTTACAATGAGTTAGACGCGTGAAAAGCGGGGTCTTGGACCAGCGGTGGTCCTATGTGACTGAGCATGTCGAATCAAAGCCTCGACTGCGGCACCCCGCCAACGCCACTCCGCGTGGCCACTCACCGTGACAGCGAGGTAGGCTACCAGCGCAGTGCCAGGGGTAGGTGACGAAATACTGCAACAGGCTGGCGCACCTGGTCTGCTGGTAGCATCTATCGTGCAAGTAGCAACATCTGCAATGAGGCCGGCCGGCCCCGGTTAGCCCCGAGATCAGAGGTCACCTGAGGTCACCAGAGGCTACTCAGTGTGATCAGGGGTCACGTGGTTGCCCGCCTGGTGGTGGCACCCGGTCACATGCCTCGATCAAAAGCTGCCTGACGCGAGGCTTGCGACTGAGTCGGTCTGCAGATCTGTGCTTCGGTGAAGCCCGTCCTTGGGCCGTCCGTCCCTGCACCGTTTGCTCCCGTGCCGTCCATTCCTGTGCAGCCCGTCTCTGTGCCACCCGTTTGTGTACCGTTCGTCCTTGTGCCGTCCGTCTTTGTGCCGTCCGTCTCTGTGCCACCCGTTCCTGTGCCGTCCGTTCCCGTGCCGTCCGTTCCCGTGCCGTCCGTTCATGTGCCGTCCGTCCTTGTGCCGTCATCAAATTCTGCCCCGTGGCGAGCACGCTGAGCGTCCGCAGCGTTCCGCCTGTGGCTGGTGGTCGTATGAGCTATTAACGGTTTTATTTGCAGCGGCGGCCATGTGCATAGCCCCCATGGGTTGCTGGTCGACGCAGCCAAGCCATGACGGGCTGAGAGCATGGCGTGGTCAATATGTGAGGTCGTAAGATGATTTTGGCCAATAATGGCATGTTCAGTCCATTACACATTCTGAGGTTTTGATGATTGGAATGCTACAGCGGATGATCGAACGCCACGCTTACACAAACGCGCGTTTGTGACTTATGGCAATGCCATCAAGGGCGTCAGCCTGGTATTTCGCGAGGACTAGTGCGATCACGGGAGGGACGTCGTTACCTCGCTGGGCTAAATTTTGCGCTGTCATGGTGCTACACAAGCATTTGCTCGCCGCACCACACACATGGGAACAAACAAACGCCATGATTAGCTGCGCTGATTCCGGTCTGCCCCATGCCTGGTTTGTTATCAGCGAGCAAGCCTCGGCGGTCGGGTCTGGGCCAAGGCCAGCACCCACGAGCCATGTTTATGTGCCGGCTTATCCAGTAACCACCAAGCCTCAGCCCGCTGTTTAAGAGGCCGGGCGCAGCGCCTGGCCGCTCTTGCTGAGCCGTTACCTTCTTCACGCTCAAGGCTGTCCATATTCAGCGTTCTCTGCGGTCATGGTCCGAGCGCGCGGTCGGAACGGCAGCAGCCTTGGCACGATGCGGTGAGTAACGTGCCGTGCGGATCTGTAACCCGAACCCTCCCCCACCGGTCAGCGGAGACCAGACGCCTTGGCACAGTGTGGCCTGTAGCGTGCCGTGCGGATCTGTATCCCGAACCCTCCCCCACCAGCCAGCGGAGGCTAGGCGACTCTCGAGTCCCTCGGCGGCGGGGCATCTGGCGGGGCTTACCCGCCTTGCGAAACGAGGAGGTTTCGCAGTCGTATCTAAAGTGTCGGCAATGGAGAAAGAGCGAGAGAGGCTGGAGGGTCTAGGGAGAATCTTGCGAAAAACCTGTCAATGGAGATGAACCCGCGGTCTTCAGTTTGGCCCCCAATTGGTCAGTTTATCACCTCTTTCTCCAAGAGCACCTATTTGCTGGTCATTAGGCGTCAGCTCAGGCAAGAATGCCTGGTGACACCTCTGCTTCATTCGCACAAAACGGTTTGCATTTGGCGATCTCGTTACGAAATCCTGTGCGGACTTGTTTCACCTGACCTGATCCCCGACAATGACCAAACACTGCAGAATACTGCAGACGACACCTAGGAATCGCCAAGGCAGCATGATTATTGGCGGTGGCTTTCACTGCTCCTGCCGGCGACAGCCATTTCGTGGTGGCGTAGGCATCGACCATCACCCTTCAGCGGATTTCTGCCGATAAAGGGCCCGTGCAGACAAAATGGGAGCTTCTTCTGACGACAGATAGCCTGTTTCTTTGATCTTCTCTTGGAGCAGCCGACAGCGAATTGGACTCCCTATCACGGTGGTGAAAGAGGCCGGAAAACATAGGTACAGCGCGGGCGAAAAAAACTCTTTAGTCTTGCTTTTTTCATCACACATTCGTGAACAGAGAAACTCGCTGCGAGCACAAGCAAAAACAGTTACCCTCTGGACCACCAGATTCCAAAACATCAGTCAAATGGCTGTCATCCACCTGCCCACCTCTCACTCTTTCGTTAGACCCGAGACGCCGGGCACAACCCCACCGCCTCCCCGCGGGAAGAGGTCAATGCCACAGCCGCCGTCCCGGCCAACGCCCCCCCCCCCCCCCCCCCCCCCGCGCGCCATGATCGCTAACGCTGTTCGACGGGGTGGACGGGAGCTGGTTCAGACCCCGGGGCCGCGGTCGGGAGGCACAATGCTGGAGTGCGGAGTCAAAACAAAACGATTGGCGAGGCGCTTGCCCCGCACCACGTCCCGGTCGCCGACCCGAGCACGGGGCCAGTGAACGAGCAGCGTGGGGCCACGACAGCCGACGGAGGGGAGCAGGGCTGGCCAGCGGAGCCGGGAGGGAAGGAGGGCTGGCCAGTAGAGCCGGGAGGGGAGGACGGCTGGCCAGCAGAGCCGGGAGGGGAGGAGGGCTGGCCAGCAGGGCCGGGAGGGAAGGAGGGCTGGCCAGCGGAGCCGGGAGGGGAGGAGGCTGGCCAGCGGAGCCGGGAGGGGAGGAGGGCTGGCCAGTAGAGCCGGGAGGGGAGGACGGCTGGCCAGCGGAGCCGACGGAGGGAAGGAGGGCTGGCCAGCAGGGCCGGGAGGGAGGAGGGCTGGCCAGCAGGGCCGGGAGGGAAGGAGGGCTGGCCAGCGGAGCCGGGAGGGGAGGACGGCTGGCCAGCGGAGCCGCGAGGGGAGTAGGGCTGGCCAGCAGGGTCGGGAGGGGAGGAGGCCGGCTACCGGAGCCGGGAGGGGAGTAGGGCTGGCCAGCAGGGTCTGGAGGGAAGGAGGGCTGGCCAGCGGAGCCGGGAGGGGAGGACGGCTGGCCAGCGGAGCCGCGATGGGAGGAGGGCTGGCCAGCAGGGTCGGGAGCTCCAGTGGCTGCCGGTACACTCGCGGGACCCGTACGCTCTGCCCAGATCTGAGCCGGCAGAGAGGTCAGGTGAGTCGGGATCTCACACGAAGACCAGTGTGTTGTGACTGGCCGGAGATTGTGTCGCGCTGGAACGTTTTTTTTTAAACGAGGAAAACATTGCTTGGACTGATGCGTATGCGTTCAACGCGCATCCTAACCAACCTCTCATCTTTTGTGTTAAGAATATATTGTCTTGGCCCTCAATCGGGGCTCTTTCGTTGCTGCATATCTCCGGTGGAATAACTTATACTTATCTCAGCGTCGATCGGAACACATTTTTTCGATGAAACGTGGTTTGTAGCCTGCAGAAGGTTCGGACCTCTCCATGCGCCAGGTGGTACCTTAAGACGGTCACGTGTCAAGTGACCAGCGTCATGTCACGGTGGCACGTGCCCCCGGCTGGGTCGCGCCGGCAGTCGGTCACGCGTCCGCCTCCGTCGCGTCGCTGCTCCGCAGGCCTCCCTCAGCGAGACCACCGAAGCACCGCCCGACGACCGCACCTGTCAGCCTGATGCGTAACCATCGCAACGCCCCCAGCCGCCCAATCAGCGCCCACAACCGTCAGCCAAGCCATGCGTGTGAAGCGGGCGGCAGGCAGTGCGCGGCCGGCCGCCCCTGCTGCCACCTAGCGTCCTCGCGGGGAAGGTCGCGGCGGCCTTGCGCGACCTTGTGGGCGGGGGCGGAACTCACCGCAGGTGGGCTTGCCGTCCTGGCACACCCACTTGTAACGGGACACATAGAAGGAGACACCGAATGGGTCAGTGAAGCAGTGGTTGGCGCGCCAGTAGCACCAGTCGTGCTCGTAGCAGCAGCTGGAAGCAGCGGCTGGGTCAGAACGGCGCGGCCAAGCGCTGAGACCGTCGGTTGACGCTGCTCGGGCCGAGCGTTTGGGCGGAGGCCGGTTAGAAGCGCCTGGCGTGCGCTGGGAGCGTTTGAGTGTAGACAGGGTGCTCATGGCAGTGGCAGGTCTGGGCACGCGTGTGCCTCGTGGTAGGGCAATGCTTCGTCTTAATTACATAGATCGTCAGATAATTTCCCCAACCCCTAATTGAGCTGTATTTTTCAGCGGGACCTCTATTCAGCAATGATTCTGATTAACTACCACACGTTTTGCCCACACTTCATCTAAGTGTCTAAGTTCCTTTTTGGCCAGCGCGTTTGGTTCTACGTCGACAGCCACGGACTCAGTCTAGGTGCCTGCCAATCATAACATCCTGATCACACCACCCAAACACTGACATCACAACTCGAACGTCAGTTTTCTTTCTGTCTTGTAACCAAACGGGAGCGCAAATGTATCGTTCGCATGGTTCACAGACATAAAACCTGCTGCATGGCCGCTGCCGCGCCTGGCCCTGGATGGCTTCCTGCACTGTATTATTGACCGTCACTGCAAAGACCCTTGCCGGATTGCCAACCCGGTAGGCTGCCAAGCCTCACAGTCACTCGCCTGAACGAGGAAATGTCATCACCTCGCCATGCACAAGTGGCATTATGTAAATATATTAGAACGATTGCACGGCGCAGGTATGCGATTATTACAGACAGGGAAAATTACCAGCAATAAATGTGTCGCAATGAAGCGATGACAAGTTATCACCTCGACAACTTGCGGTGACATTTGGAAACCACTGGTGCAGTCCAGCCGACCTCCGACAATTAAAGTGCAAGCCTGCACAATTTAAAGCGATGCTTGATTCCGTGCCATACCAGGGAGGAATGTTGCGCGTTCTTAGTCACTGGGAGAGCAGTGAGCTAGCTGCTTGTACTGAAGTTAGGTAACGTCCTTGAGCACGAGGATCCTCAGTACGGATAATGCGCAAGCACAGCGAAGCGATGCCACTCGCATACACAGCAAGCGTCAAAGTCAAGCTCCCTTGCGAATGGTATCATTATCTATGCAGTGTATGCAGAAACAGCGCTGAAAGCGAACACACGAATAGCGTTGCAGCATTTCATAACCGGCTGAATCACGACTGGGGACGGCCGGTGTCGGGCCGTGACAAGAACGACTGGGGATGGCTGGTGTCTGGCCGTGACAAGAACGACTGGGGACGGCTGGTATCTGGCCGTGACAAGAACGACTGGGGACGACGGTGTCGGGCCGTGACAAGAACGACTGGGGACGGCCGGTGTCTGGCCGTGACAAGAACGACTGGGTACGGCGGTTGTCGGCCGCGACAAGAACGACTAGGGACGGCTGGTGTCCGGCCGTGACAAGAACGACTGGGGACGGCGATGTCCGGCCTCGACAAGAACGACTGCGGACGGCTGGTGCCCGGCCGTGACAGGAACGACTGGGGACGGCGATTGTCCGGCCGTGACAGAAACGACTGGGTACGGCGGTGCCCGGCCGCAACAAGAACGGCTGGGGACGGCTGGTGTCCGGCCGTGACAAGAACGACTGGGGACGGCCGGTGTCGGGCCGCGACAGGAACGACTAGGGACGGCGGTGTCCGGCCGTGACAGGAACGACTGGGGACGGCCGGTGTCGGGCCGCGACAGGAACGACTGGGGACGGCGGTGCCCGGCCGTGACAGGAACGACTGGGGACGGCCGGTGTCGGGCCGCGACAGGAACGACTGGGACGGCCAGTGTCCGGCCGTCTCTGGGGACGGCTGGTGTACGGACATGACAGGAACGAGCCCGGCGGAGCCTGACGGGCAAGAACGGGCCCGATGGACACCGGCGTGGCGTTAACAGCAGAGCCACCCGTACAGTCACAAATGAGACGCGGCCGATCCCAGCGGGCGGGACGTGCGAAAATGGGGTGCCTGGGAACACTCGACCTCGTACTGTATAAACGACCAGTGCGGTTGCCTCGCATGGCTGCCCACAGAGTCGACCACGTGACTACGTGACGTGTCTTTTGCATGGTTGCTTGCACGCTGCCTGACTCCATGCCCCATGACGGCTGTGTGGTCACGCACATGTCTCGCTTGGTACCCACCTTTATGGTGTTCATCAGCTGCGAAAATTTTCGATTCAACGGTAGCATGCGGCCAGGTCCAATACTGGGTACGGCGATATCCGTACTTCCATTGTCTTTCAGAAGGACTTGGTTACCCTTGGATATCCGTGTACACGAGATGTCATCCAAGCAGATTAGATTACGGCAACCCAATCAGCGTGAAGAAATCCCGCAGGCGGTGATGCGACAGCGACGGCCCAAGACGCCCCACGACGGCGCGATACTCTGGTGCGACAGCGACGGCTCAGGACGCCCCACAACGGCGCGGTACTCTGGTGCGACAGTGACGGCCCAAAAGCCCCGCGACGGAGCGATACTCACTGGTCGATGCCGTCCACCACGCGGCCCGAGCCGAGGAAGCCACAGTAGCAGCCGTAGCCCTTGTAGGCGATGGGACTGCAGCCGGTGGCGCACTTCATCATGTCGCCCAGCTGCACCACATTGCGCTTCCGGCGCGAGTGAGTGACCAGCATCCAGCGCAGGTCAGCAGCGCTGGTGCCGGTGCTGGCGCCGGCCGGCGCGGCGGCGCCCAGCTCGCTGACCGAGGTCAACAGCTCCTCGTAGTCGCTGGGGTCGGCGCTGGCGGGCGGCAGCGCGAGCTCCGCCGCCGGTGACTCCCCGAGCTGGCTGGCCACCGCTGAGAACGACAGCCGCTGTCATACACTGGGGGCCTGTGCGGAGTGGAACCTCCAGCCGACAAATAAACGTCATAGCCATCGTACAACGCGATTTGCATCGTTACTTTTAGTGATGACAGCGATGTTTGATGGTGCAGCTATTGGAGTGGCGCACAGTTACAACCCATTTGTAAGCGACTCTTCCTGCAGAGGTAAATAAAGAAGTGTCTGCCACCGGGCGAGCGCGTTAATCCTCACCGCGTGTAGCCCTGACCCCCCACACAACCCTAGCGCCGTGACCCTCCACTCCGCGTAACCCTAACCCCTCACTACCCTAGCGCCGTGACCTCTCACTCCGTGTAACTCTAACCCCTCACCACCCCAGTGCCGTGACCCTTCACTTCGTGTGTCCTTGACCCCTTACTGCCCCAGCGCCGTGACCCCTCACTCCGTGTGACCGGTGAGGTCATACCTCATGCGGTGTGAGCGGTGCGACGCCCGACCAGTGCCCAAAGAGATGACGATGGTTGGCGCAGGTGCGACGTGCGAACCTTGATATTAAGCATGTAACAAGAACATGAACAAGCAAGTCCAAGTGGTTTTCGACCAGGGACTGCAGTGAAGAGCGCCGATGGAATCGTGTTATACTTTTATCTTATTAAAAAAATAAAGCCCTTGTCCATTAGTAAGTCAGGTATTGGTTGGCATGTCTCGCAACACCGTTCACAGAAGTTGAAGAAAAAATTGCGGTATAAGGATATTTTTCATTGACTGATGATGGGGCCACCTGCTCGCGTAAGCCTCACGACCAAACACAAACTATTAATGTGGCTTGTGAGTTGTACAATATTTCATCTTTCTCAGCAGCAAGTAGCAATCTAGCTATGCAAATAAATGCAACCAAATTCTTAGAGAGCTGCACCGACGGAAAACAGATGGGGGGGGGGAGGGCTCATCAAACATTTGATCAACGACAAAATCCTCATCGCAAGTCATGCCGCTCAAATGCCGTCAATCATCACAACCGTCGTTCACAACCGCTCTATCCGCCGTCACGTCCACCTGCTCTGTGGAGCCCTCGGCACCACTCTGGCCCCGGCGCCCCTCCCCCTCCCCCCTCCCCCCCGCCGCCGCGGCCGCTGTCAGCCGGCGCCGGGGCGTGAGAAGGCCGCCGCTCGGTTGGGTCACACCGCGGCCCGGGCGGGTTGCGCGGGCAGCCCCCTGGCGGCATTACCTCACTGGCCGGCACCACCAGCCGTCCGCCGCCAGCTGACCCGGTCACGGTCACGGGACCGCGCGGCGGAGGAGGTGGGGAGGTCGACCGGTGAGGAGATGTCTGTAGTTTGGAGGATCTAACGTGTTCTTCCGTTCCGTGGGGCTGCTGGGATGCGTAAAGGCAAGGTGCTCAAGGCAATCACATGCGGATGTTGCTTATGCTTTTAGACAAATATGGATGGTATGTAGCGTATCAATTCGTCGCGAACACTACCTCATGTGTGCATATTTGATGGCTGTGGTGGCAAAACTTTGGATATTTTCGCGGTAGTAATATACACCCTTGCACCGAGCAATACGTTCGTGAAACCCACAAACCGACCAGAAACAGGAAGGCCGTCATGTGCCCATTGCGCTCCCGACCACCGGCTGACTGTCGTGGGCTGGAGCCGACCAAGTCAGACACGCTCGACAGCTGAGGCAGGGCGACCTGAACCTCCAGCCAGTCACTGACCTCCGTCGCCGCCGACTATCGCAGCGTCACGCGCCGTCGGCTAGCCAAGCCAAGGACGCGTCCTGCACCGCTTGGAAGCGTCGCTTAGGAAACGCATGTCCTCGGCGCTTTTCGGCTCTGGTGGGCCATATTCCGTTGGGGAGCGGCCGTCCACGCACACGTGACCTCCTGTTTCGCCTCGGGGCAGAGACCACTGATGCGCACCAGTGCACTCGGTAGGCGCTTGATGAACATCAACACCACGCTAGGCCCGCTGACAGCTGTCCCAGCGTGGTGTTCATGCTGATGCGATTGTTGTGTCGCGGTGTTTTTGTATCGAGGACTTGACACCACGTGGGGGAGGGGAGGTGTTGACGAGGTCACGTGGGCTCCGCTGAGATAAGGCTGTGGTGCCAGGAAGGCGCGGCGGTAGGTACATTGGGCGGCGCAGCAGAGACCTACTAATCCGGCAGGGCTTCACCGCCGCTGACGACACCGCAGTGCTGGACCACAGACCACGGGGCAGACCACCGGTCTGTGGTCTGTCGCATCAGCTGGCACGTGCAAGAAAACACCGCGAGGTTGTTCTCCGCATCGTCCGTGTCCAGGTTTTCGACCCATTATGTGGTGTATGCACCGGCTATCCTCAACACATGGCTTAGGCTGAAGCGACAGCCGGTTATTCCGCTATGCCCCCACCTGCTTCTTCGTCAGACGTTTGCTTGTCTCATCCGCATCAGCTCTTTCTATGGCCAGACGACGTGCCGTGAAGACAACCGATAGAAGCAGCTTTGAGTGAAACTGATGCGACTAATGGAGTAGAATGAGCTTGGAAACTGATTTAAAAACACTGTTCCAACGCCAAGGTTAAATTATAAGAATATCAAACAGCCTTAGGTTTTCAATCATGTGCCTAAGATCCACGCACAACAAAAAACAGCTATATGACATCAGTGGCGTTAGAGCCAACGGAGTGGCGACGGACCACACTGGAGCCCCTAGTACTCCAGTTGTGGGTGCTTGTGTCGTGATGCATTCGAGCCATCATAAGTTTCGGCCTCGCGGAGTACAAAAACACCATGCTTCGAAAAAGTTCAGAAATCAGGCAACCTATTTTAAAGAAATAACAGGTTCAGGTGGCTGAAACTCGATGGCAAATCGGAAGCTATGCACAGGTTAAGCAAACCTACTTCACAGACCTGAAAGACCCAACGTGATCAAGACCCCCGTGCCTATACCTGCTATCTTGCTAGGTCAGACCGCCATTGCAACGGTTGCGTTTAAATGATACAAAAGTGGTGTCATCCTCATGTGGCGTGATGGTAACGCAGGTCGTGTGATGGTGACTTGCCCACCACCTTGGCCGCACCGCCACATAGTGGAATGTAACATAATATTGAGTGAGCGTGTCGACCATAGGGTGCAGCTTCATTCATATCATGGCTCACTTGTCCCCTCCCTTGCAAATACATCCCTGCCGCTCAAATTCCGGCATGCTGCTGTCCAGCGGCCCTCCTCGGCCAGACATCCGCGGCCCAGCGTCGAGACGGTAGAGGTAGGGGTAGGGGGGAGGGGGGGGGGGGCGGGTGCACCCACGGACCAGCGGTCCCTGCCGGCGCCGGCGCTGCCGCCGTTCTGCTGGTGCCGAGTGAGCCGTGCGGCCGGAGCGCCAGCCCATGTGGCCGGGGCGCCGGCCCGTGCAGCCGGAGCGCCAGCCCATGCCGCCGGGGCGTCAGCCCATGCGGCCGGGGCACCAGCCCGTGCAGCCGGAGCGCCAGCCCATGCGGCCGGGGTGCCAGCCCGTGCGGCCGGAGCGCCAGCCCGTGCTGCCGGAGCGCCAGTCCGGGCGGCCGGGGCACCAGCCCGTGCGTCCGGGGCGCCAGCCCGTGCAGCCGGAGCGCCAGCCCGTGCGGCCGGGGCGCCAGTCCGTGCGGCCGGAGCGCCAACCCGTGCTGCCGAAGCGCCAGCTCGGGTGGCCAAAGCGCGGGCCCGGGCGGCCGCCGCAGGTCAGCGGGACGAGCCCGGCCACGGACGCGGTGAAAGCGACCGGGTGCGACCGCGCCTGGCACGGCGGCCACCTCTGCAATGTATGCGGGTCGCATCAGGCGGTGGGGATGGGCTTGGACCTGACTTGACCTTGTGAGAATGGGGTTGGTGTGCGACCGCGGCGCGGCCTACCCCTGTAGCTTTTCGCGAAGCCTTTTCACAGCAGCTTGTTTCGGACGAGTTAAAGCGCCGCCAGCCCATCTTACCTTGCGTCACTACGTTGGTTTGACCTTCATTTTTTGCGCCGAAAGTTCCCAAGTTCTGCAGGCATTTTTTATCAGATGTCAAAAGGTCTTTCGACTGGGGGCGTAGTTTCGCAAAATAAGTGTGTGTGGGGGGGGGGGGGGGGGTAAACAGTAGTAAAGTGTGTGTTGGGGTAAACAAAAGTAAACAATGACCAGCACATCCCTCAAAAAGCCAACAAAAAGCTTCTCCTTGGGTTTTTCATACTTTTTTCTCAAAGTTGGGGTGGCTGAAGCCCAAACCGGGGGGGGGGGGGCTGAAACCCCCCAACTGAAAAAAGAAACTACACTCCTGCCTGTGACCGTTACCTTTTACAAAAAGCCATCGCGGGAACAGCGATGGCCGATAGGATACCTTTAACTGTGTTCATTGGGACGGACGAGACGAACTGATCTCGCGATACGATTTCCAGGATTTAAATTTGACAATGAAAAGTTTCAAAGAATGGTAAAGCACTGATTACTACTGCGCGTCTTTTCGGTGGTCGTAAAACAGCCGGCTGACGTAGCAGGCACTGCCAAGACATTCCCTGAGCTGTAAGACGACGGTGGAACTGTCGTCTTAGCGATTTAATACGGCATAATGTGTAATCGGCTGACTGTCCCGTTCAATTCAAAAGCACTTCAAGCTGGAGCATATTCAAAGTTCAGTTCACAGCCATGACCTCGGATTTCCACAAACCATTCATCGTGGCGCCATGCATACATCAGATGTGGGTGCCTAAGCCCTGGATCGCATTATGAGCTGGACGAATGTTTTAAGGCTGAGTTTATAGATAGGCTCAAAGACGGACTTACAGATGGGTTTACGGATGGGCTCACAAATGGCTTCAAAAATGGGTTCACAGATGGGTTCACAG